CTTCCTCCTAAGGTCGGACTTAGACATGATGGCATCTGAATGTTTTCAACACAGACCTCACAGAATTGCCATTGAGTAAGTAGCATGATCCCAAAGGAATCCCTGGCCTCAGGCAGCCGGACGGCTCTGGTCTCCGAAAGAGCCAGTCTTCGCGTTTCTCCATCCCCAGCACTCACCCTCACCCAGCAGATGGGGAGTGGTCTGGATTGACAAAAGATAAACTGGTGAAGAGAGCTAAAGGCTGAGACACTGAGCATCTATTGTCGTGTTTAAGCTTAGCTGGGTCCTTTCGAGTTTGTTTTACAGCTTTACTAGGTTACGTAGTTTGCACTATTTTTGCAATAAATTCATGGAAAACCTAACAGTTAACTTGTTTTGTTTCTTACTGTGTGTATATAAACTAATACTAAAAGTTTGGCATAGTGTTTTTTCACCTCCTACATAACCCTTAACATGCACAGAATGCTGTAAATCTGATAAAATATGATGTGAATGATATTTTATAAAGTTATTTTGTATGGTGTCAATTTTGTTTTGCCTCATAGTATGTCAGCAAAAAATAAAATAAAATTCCTCATATTTACAGCTGCCTCTCCCAAAGATCTTCAATTACTCGCAGATTTGGGCACTTCCTTCTGCACAAGTTAAGATTCCAGGTTTCAGAGGGGGGAGCCTGCCTTCCATGACGGATGTCTAGAGGCCTAGTCTGCAAGTATTGGACCTATTCCTTGAACAGTGTATTCAGAAGAGGTGGGCACTAGTTCCTGAGAATTCGGGTTTGGGGATGAAAACCGCAGGAATGATTAGAAAAATAAAACTGGTATCTAGGAGGAGTGGGGTGTTTCTACTCTAGCAGCCATGAGAAAGGAGGAAGTAAAAAGCTGTTCAACTAAGCCCCAGTCAAGTGCAGTGCGAGCCCTGCCCTGAGGTCCGTGTTGTGTGGGAGGACTCCGAGCTGACCACATCCAGGGTTCGCATCCTGGTGGGTCGCGACTCCCTCTGCCCGGGCTGGGGTTACACGTACTGCTACCGCTCTGCAACCCCTGGTGACCCCACTCTGGGCTGTCCGTGACCTCCACTGTCTGCACTGTAAAGAGTACGTGCTTGTTGGGAAAGAAGGGTTGGACGTAAGGAAGCCAAAAAATGGCTGAAAATCCTAGGATGCCAAATGGACATTGTCGCTAAAGCAGGCCAAGACTTTGTTCTTGGTGAAAGCTATTTTTTTATTTTTAAGAATATGTATTAATTATAGAAAATGTTGACAATTCAGATGAACATGAAGATGAAATTTTAAATTATAATCACAGCACTGATAGGTAATTATTCTTAAAACTTCTGGTATATTTTGTTCTAGTCTTGTTTTTTCTAACAAAATCAAGATGAAGTTCTCCCCACCCCACCCCTCGCTTAGACATCCAGGACCCTGTACTTCTTGCTTACTTGGTATCTAAAACCAAATAGCACCTCTGTGCCATTGGCCCCTGGGACATGCTAGCTGAAGCTGGAAGAGAGAAGAAAATGATGAGAGATCTCTAATCTCTTTACTTAATACATACAGACTCACCTTGTGACATTCTTGCTGTTTAATTAAATGAAACTGTATGATGGTGGGGTGCCTGGGTGGCTCGGTCGGTTGGGCATCCGACTCTTGGGTTCAGCTCAGGTCGTGCTCTCAGGGTAGTGAGCTTGAGCGCTGAGACGGGCTTCTCGCTCATCATGGAGTCTGCTTGGGTTTCTCTCTCCCTCTGCCCCTCCCCCTGCTTGTGCGCTCTCTCTAAAATAAATTAAAAAAACCTGTATGATGGTGTTAGGTGAATTAGGAAAAAGCTTCAGAAGAGAAAGCTGCTTGACTAGAGGGTGTTTATGCTCCATAGAGGATGAGGAGCTCATACCAGGAGGAATGGAAGGTTCCCCTAGGAAAACTATAGGATACAAAGTAGAGTCAGATCAGTGTGAAGGTTCTTAATGGCCAAGTTAAGAATGTACCCCACACGGAGTGGGGAGAAAGTGTTTTTTGTTTTGTTTTGTTTTTTTTTTTTTTAAGCTGCATGGTCCAGTGAAGAATGTGGTCTGCAGTTTGAATCCCAATTCCACCACCTCCTAGGTGTGTCCTGGACTAGTTCCTTAGCCTGGGCTTCCATCCCCTTCTTTGTAAAACACAGACACTTTACAAGTTATGGGAGGATTAAATGAAGAGGTACACAATAGTAGAAGAGGTGTGGCCCCCAGCAGCCATTTTAATATCAGCTACTTTTAACATTTCTGACTAGGAAAGATTAATCTTCATCAACTGTTTTGGTAACCTGATACAAATACAGAAAAGAGGCTCTAGAGATGTTGAGGACGCTAGCGTAACAGACGGGCGGGGCGTGTGGCTCAAGGAGAATCCAAGGAGGGGGGCTCCCTAAATAACTGGATCTGAAGTGCTTAGGATGTGGTAAGAACGTTTCAGCTGGTTAGACCCAGTAACGGTATTTTTCCTGGGGATTTCTTAAACAGCAACATGTTACTGGGGGCATAGATACTAGGGGCCATGCATGGCATTTTAAAAAGATAATTGTTTAAAAACAATAAAAATTAAATAAAAAGATACACAGGACTCCTGGGTGGCTCAGTCGGTTGACTGTCCGACTCTTGATCCTCAGTTCAGGTCTTAATCTCAGGGTTGGAGTTCAAGCCCAATGTTGGGCTCCACGCAAAAAAAAAAAAAAAAAAAAAGATCTTTGTGACTGGGTTTGATGACAAGTTTTTAGATACAAGAAAAGCATGATCCCCAGAGAAAAAAACTGATATACTGGACTTCCTGAAAATTAAGAACTTCTCAAAGAGAAATAATAATTTCTGCTCTTCGAAAGATGCTGTCAAGAAAGGAAAAGACAAGCTACAGACTGGGAGAAAATATTTGCAAATCCCATAATCTAGCAAAGGGATTGTATTCAGAATACATAAAATTCTCAAACTCAACAAAAAGAAAACCCAACAAAAAGATGGGCAAAAGATTTGGACACTTCACCACAGAAAATATGGTAAATAAGCAAATAAAAAGATGCTCTACATTTGTCATTATAGAAATGCAAATTAAAGCCTACACCCATGAAAATGGCTAAAATTAAAAAAAAAATTACCAAGTTTTGCAGAGGATGCAGAGCAACTGAAATTCATTTACTGCTGGTGGGAATGCAAAATGGTACAGCCACTTTATAAGTCTGGCAGTTTATGAACTTAAATACACAATTCCACTCCTAAGTATATACTCAAGTATGTTCACTCAAGTGGACATCCTATGTTCACACAAAACCTGTACACAAATGTTTCTAGGGATTTATTTGTAATCATCAACACTGGAAACAACCCAAATTGGGAATTATCTGTTGACCTGGGGAACGGAGAAACACACTACTATATATCCATACCACGGGAGCCTACTCAGCAATAAGGAGTGGGACCTGCAATAATGTGAATTTCCTGTGTGTTATGCGTCACCAAAGCCGCACACACAGGCTCTGTACTGTAGAGTTCCATTTATGTGACATGGGAAAGGCAGGTCAGCAAACCATGGTATGCAAACCAAAGCCAGCCCATTGAGTTTCTGTACGGCCTATAAGCTTAAGAATGGCTTTTACATTCTTAAATGTTTCAAGACAATCAGAAGACTATTTCATGACCCATGAAAATGATACAATTCAAATTTCAGTGTCCAGAACTGAAGCTTCACTGAAATAAGCCATACTCATTCCTTTCTGTATCATCTACAGCAGCTTTTCTATTACAACGGCACAGTTCAACAGCTGTGACAGGTTATATAGCCCACAGATCTTAAAAATGTTTTCTATATGGCCCTTTCCAGAAAAAGTTCGTGAACTTCTATATGGGTAATGAATAGCACAGTGGTTGCCAAGGTAAAGGGTTGGAATCTGGATTTAACCAGGAGGGAATTTGGGGGAAGGCGATAACCACTGTTGAATCTTGTGGTGGTTACACAACTCTGCATTTGTCAAAGCTCAAAACTGTATCAAAATGGGGATTTTTAAAAAAATTTTAAAAACGAGGAACAGAAACAGCAGCAGTTGCCTGGGGATAAGGGAGGGGACTCCGGGGGTACAGTGGAATATTTGGGGTGATTCGTCCCATATATTGGGGTGAACTGTCCTGTATATTGCATAACCAACAGATCGGACACTAAAGGATGATTTTACTAGATGTAAATTGTAACTCATTTTTTTAAAAAGAGACTAAAGAGACAAGAGCCAAAAATTTACTCCATGTGGAAAAAAAAATAGGGCTTATAGTTTTCTCTTGACAGTAAAAACAATTACTTTGGTTGTAAAGAAAGGAAAAGTAAGCTGAGATTTTCTTTCTTTTTTTAAAAAATATTTTATTTATTTACTTGAGAGACAGCAGGGGCAGAGGGAGAAGGGGAGGAAGAAGCAGGCTCCCAGCTGAGCAGGGAGCCCAATAAGGGGCTCGCTCTCAGGACTCCAGGATCATGACCTGAACTGAAGGCAGACGCTCAACTGACTTAGCCACCCAGGTGCCCCGAGAGATTTTCAATATACAAATTTTTTTTTAAGATTTTATTTATTTATTTGACAGAGAGAGACACAGAGAGGGAACACAAGCAGGGGGAGTGGGAGAGGGAGCAGCAGGCTTCCTGCTGAGCAGGGAGCCCAATGTGGGACTCGATCCCTGGACCCTGGGATCATGACCTGAGCCGAAGGCAGACGCTTAACAACTGAGCCACCCAGGCACCACAGAAATGCTTATTTTTAAGTTTTGCAGAAGTCTCAGGTAATAAGCAAGACATCAGAACAACAGAGAGCTCTAAAACTAATTCCACAAAGCATTTACTATAAAACTACATACAGCTTCTAATAAAGAAATTTATTTCTTTACAGTTAATAAAATCGCAGTATTTGGACAAATCGTCAAATTTTGACATGTAACATACTACCCACAAACTATATATTTAGCTCAAACTACATCTAGTTGTTTACAAGAACTAATTTCCAAATATACATCTATGAATTTACACAACTGGTCTTTAGAAGCTCTTCAATATCTATCTGTAAGTTAAAAAGTGAAGCAAAATTGTCTGTCTCTACAGCTTACAGCTGCAGATCAACAGTCAGGGCCTGAGTGTACAGGCAGCTCTCTTGGTGCCCCTGTGTCCCCCTCAAACTGCAACGTGGGCCCCTCAGAGAGAGGCTGCTGTCTGGGTCACTTTCCTTCTGGCCATTTATGGTGTGGGCACATCAGGTGCTCTATCTTAGCCAGGAAGGAATCCAATGCACTTGAAGTCTCTGAAAAGCGAGGAGTCTGAAGTCACACAGTGTTGTGCTTACTTCCAAGCAATGCTGCTAATCCAGGAGGGTCCTCAGCAGGCTGATTTCTAAGGCACTTCCTCTTTGGTCTACGATTCTGCTTCATCCCCAGCACTCCCATCATCGCTGTCATTCTCCTCCTCGTCCCTCTTCTCTTTAAGCATTTTCAGGTATTTACTAGCTAAAATCTTCTTTGGTAATATATCTTAAAAATATAAAGCTAACATCAGCAATTGGTTTTGGCAGACCATGAACACAGCAATGCAAATTTCAAAATGTGCTAGTTCCAGCTTTGAACTCTTTAATAGGTTCCAACACAAGACAAAATTCTGACTACACTTCTGGGTGAAACAGCAGGAAACCAGCACTACCTCCTGACTGATGCTAAAGACCTGTTTCCACTCCAGGAACTACAAGTCATGTGCTCCTGTATGTGCTGCTGTTGACTGAGCAAGTCTGCTCAACCCACCTGAGACAAGCCGGCTGGCCCCGGGGACAGATTTAAGCTCTTTTTAGCTGTGGCCCACACAGCTTGTCCACAACAACTATTAATTTCTGTTTCTGGGGCCAAGCAGACCAGCCCAGAGTTTTCCCGTCAGTGGTAAGGAGTCTAGGGGGTGGGTTTGCCAGGCTCACCCAGCCAGCCAGCCAGCCAGCCAAACGTCCTGGTGCAGGTTGTTGAGTTCATGGTCATTCTAGGTGAACCACACTACAAACATACTCTGGCAAAACTAAAAATGTCTTCCTATGCCAGGTCATGCACCCAGAGAAAGCAGCAAAAAAAAAAAAGGCTATTTCAGTGAAAGCAGGGGGAAAAAGCTGTAAATTACCACGCACGTTCTAACCAGAATGTTTCAAAGGCTGAGTACCTGCAAGAAACTGAAAAGTTTCCGATTCCTCTGCAGTATTTGATAAATCACTGTAAGTGAGTGCTTTCCTTTCTTTTCCACTGCCATGTCTGTAGGAATAGGTGGCTAGATATTGAACAAAGAGTTCCTAAAACAAAATGAAAAGGTAAAATGAAAGGTATGCTTTGAAAACTTACCACAGAACTTAATTTTTTAAATTACGTTAGGTTTAGAGGACTTGACTGCAGATTACTGTGGTTTCTCAAATTACAGGAAATCAGTGGGGAAAGGAGAAATAGGAGGTCAAAAAGAAAGCAAGGCTGTATCAGAGTTGGCAAGGAAGCAGGCATTTCCCTAAAGTTATTTTAGATTTCTAACTTAGGGAAGATATTTAAAAGTAATTCAACAACGGATTATAAATGTTTATAAACTATTTTTTTTAAGAAGCAAAAGACCATTCAAAAATTCTACTTGACTCAGGAACACATTTTCAAGCTTCTATTTAAATACATCATGTCTAAGGCGGTTGCCTACAATAGTCAACAACCTGAAGCTGAAAGCTGACCACGTTTCCCATTTTGCCCAAACATCTTACCTAAAGCAACAACCTAAACTGCGCCTCTCCGTTTTTAACTTTAACTCCCTCTAGTTCGGCTGGTAGGGAGTGAAAGCGCCTGCCGGTGCCTGCCTTCCTCATCCTCGGAGAATCAACGGGCACAGGGCAACCCAAACATCCCAAGACCGCATGCCCTATGGGGCGCTAAGACACACAGGGGCTGGGCATTAAGGAAGGCACCTGACGTAAGGAGCACCGGGTGTTACACGCAACTGATGAATCACTAAACTCCACCCTTAAAGTAATAAAAAATAAAAATAAAATAAAACATGGCTCCGGGCTGAAACAGGCAAGCCCCCGGGTCCACCGTACCGCAGGGACACTGCACGGAAACCCCAGCGGTGGGGGGCAGAGCCGAAGGGCAGTGTAGGCGGACACGACTACAGCTTCGACACGGCCCGCAAGGGCTCTGGCCACCCACCACCACGACCGAGGCGCTCCGGCCAGCCCCGTGCCGCGCTCCGCGGAGCGCGCAGGTACCACGGGCCGTACAACTGGCGTCGCTTCCAGCCGGAGGAGGCACCGCCCGGCCGCGGGGGCGGGGCGCGAGTGGCGGGGGCGCGCGGTACCTCCCGGAGCCCTCTCACGGAACCCTGAGCCGCTGGAAACAAGCCGGAAGCGAGGAAAGGTCGGGGTTGGGTGACGCGCGTGCGGGAGACGCGGCAGGAGCCCCGCGTCAGCCCGCGCCGCCGCCTGGGCCTCGCGCGAGGGAGGGCGGGAGCGGCGCGGTGGGCGGGGCGGAGGGCGCGCGGGGGGGGAGCGGCGTGCGGCGGGCGGGGCGGAGGGCGCGCGGGGGAGGACGCGGGGCGCGCGCGGGGCAGCGAGGAAAGACGAGTGGGTGGGCAAAGGGCGCGCGAGGGAGGACGGGAGCGGCGGGGAGCGGCGAGGCGGGCGGGGCGGAGGGCGCGCGCAGCGAGGGAAGGGACCGGGGCAAGTCGCGGCGGGCGCGCGCAGCGCGAGCCAGCGAGTGGGAGCCGGCGGCGCGCGAGCCGAGGGGGGCACCGGCGGCGCGGCGGAGCTCGGTGGGCGGGGCAGGGCGCGACCGTTCCGGGCGGCCCCCTGCCCCTCCGTCCTCCCGCGCGGCCCGCCTCACCGTGGCCTTGGCCGTGAGCACCAGCGCTTCCTGGTTGATGCTGGACACCTCGGGGGAGCTCTTCATGATGACCCGGATGCGGGACAGGGGCAGTGACACGAGCCGCGGCTCCCCGCACTTGTCTCTGCCCGCGCCCGCGTCCGCCATCTTCGCGCCCCGCCCCGCGGCGGCAGCCGGACCCGCCGCGAGGCAGGCGGCCTGCCGGCCTGGAGGGTGCGGGAGCGGAGTCCCGCTGCCCCGTGGGAGTTGTAGTGTCGGGGAGGCGCGGCCGCGGGAGCGGGCGGCCGCCCTTCCGGGGCCGGACTACAAGCCCCGAGATGCCGCGCGCCGGAGGGCGGCCGGTGGGGCGGTGCTGCCGAGGGCCGCGGGTGGGGCTTCCCGCCGGGTGCCTGCACCGTGCGGGACCGGGGACGCGGCGGCGCGCGGCACGCTGTTGGAGCCCGCGCTCCGAAGCGGAGCGGGAGGAAGCCGGCCCGCGCGCAGGGAGGGCCCTGCGAGTGGCAGGAAGCGTGCGGAGGGGGTGCTCTGAGATACGGGGAGACGGAAGTACTGTCTTAGCCAGAGTGGCGGGGCGGAGGGCACGGAGGAAGCGCTGTCCCGCGGGAGGGAACCACTTCGGCACAGGCCCCAAGGCTGGAGCCGCTCAGGGAAGCTCGAGGGGACCGCTCCGTGGAACGCCCTATGCTGCAGGAGGACGGAGGGAGTCGTGGCCTAGGTCCTGCTGGCTTTTAGTCTAAGAAAAGTGGGAAACGGTTGAAAGATGCCAGAGGGGCGAAGGGATATGTCTGAAGTGTTCACGGGATCCCTTTGACTGCTGACTGTGAACGGTCCAGGGGGTGGTTGTAAGGGTGGAAGCAGAGAGACCAGGTAGGCGATTGGAGGTCGTGAATAAGATGCCAGTCAGTGTGCTCGGGGCCTCTGGGTGGCTCAGTCGGTTAAGCACCCTCAACTCAAGTCTTGATCTCAGGATCGTGAGTTCCAGCCCTGCGTAAAAACGCCCCTACTTAGTGTGGCTAAGGTGAAATGAGCTAGAAAAAAGAATAGTAGGAGACAGCCAGGGGCCAGATCAGGCAGGACTTTGTAGATCCCAGAATTCTTCCCAAATGAGTCCATAAGCCCTGGGAAGAGTAAGGAGGTCCCGCTTAAGTTTTACCAGGCGTACTCAAGGTGCTGTGTGTGAATGGACTGGCGGGGGGCAGGAACGGAAGCAGAGAGCACGGTGAGGAGGCTGTTGCTGGGCCAGAGATGACGGTGGGTTAGGCCAGAACGAGATGGTGGGAAGGAGTAGGGTTGGGGATCTCATTTGAAGATAGACCCACCAGGACTTGCCTGTTTGATGTGGAGTGAGTGGAAGGGTGGCGGTGCCATGTACTGAGATGGGGAGCACTGCCTGAGGAGCAACTTCGGCAAGAGGTTTGGTTCGGAGCACCTTAAGTTTTAATTGCACTAAGACTAGTCAAACACTAGTAGTGGTGTTGAGCGGAATACTGGACATTTAAGCCTGGAGTTCGGGCTGGAGCGCTTAATTTAGGAAGCAACATTGTCTAGTTGGTAGTTAAAACGGTGGACTTAAATGAATGTATTCAGGAGGGGAGTGTAGATAGAGTGGAAGGATCCAACCCCAGCATTTCAAGGGGGGCGGGGGGGGGGAGGAAAATCCAGCAAAGGAGACTGGGAAGAAGTGGCCGTTGAATAAAAGGAACACCGAGAGATTGGGTGTCCATAAAACCAGTTAAAAGGTCTGTTGAAAGAAGAAACGGCTCCACTGGATGGAAAATGGCTGAGAGGTACAGTAAGAGGACTGTCCTACCACTCAGTAGTGTGACCCCATGCAGAGCAAGTGCTGAGCCCCTGTTTCCTCATTTGCAGAGAAGGGGATATTCCTACCTGTGCTGGGGTTTTTAGGAGGTATGAAAGTGCCTGGCATATAAAGATCAAATTCCCTGCCTTGTTGGTGATACTCCGCCCAGCACTGCCTCCCTCCCACGTTGGTGGTGAGCAGCAAAAGGGATGGGAATGAGAAAGCTCTTTGTGAACTGCAAAGCGCGCCCCAAAAGTCTAAATTACATGTAAGGTTTCAGTGTTCATGCGGCAAGGTCTTTTCACCCCCAAATCAACTTCAATTTCAAAGTTCATACAAAAGGAGGCGCCTGGCCAGCCCAGGCGTAGAGCATGTGACCCTTGGTCTTGGGTTTGTGAGTTCAAGCCTCATGTTGGGCATGGAGACTACTTAAAAAAAAAGTTCATATAAAAAGAGTCTGGAAAATACAAACTATATCTTGTTTAACCTTTCCGATGAATTCTGTTCATCACCTAGGTAATGATTTCAAAATATAAAACATATACTTGTACAGCATGTTTGTACAAGTTTAGTAAGTTTTGAAAATTACTGCTCTTTATTCTTCCTGAAGAGGGGATCCAAGACCAGAGATCACAGATGGACCAGATAACTGACGTTTGCAGTATTCAGAAAGTTTTCACATCCTTCACCATCATGACCCAGTGATTTCAGCACCTGCTGTGTGCTACGTCATTACACGGAGAGGACCAAGATTGCAAGGGCATTGTTGCCTTCACCACTGTCACCGGAGGCCGTGGCCCAGATCCATGTCAGGCACTGCTGGGCACAAAGGTGCAGCCCGCGAGCCTGACATCTCTAGTCCCTGCTCTCTCAGAGCAGACGAAATTTCAAGTGCAAGGGAGACGGAAGAATAAACAGGAACGTCTCCTACAGGAAGTGCTCTGAAGAAGCCAGTGTGAGCGATAGGTTGCCTGTCTGAGAAATGATACTCCAGCTCTGGTCTGAAGAAGGGAACAGCCCCCAGTGCAGAAAGCCTGGGGCAAGATGAGCGTTCTCAACAGGACAGCCTATGGGAAGGACACCAGAAGGGGAAGATTCCCCGGGCAAAATGGAGGAACTGAAAGGACCTTCGTAAGTAAGGCAGAGCGTGCGGGAGATATGGTCGGAAGGGTAGGTGGGACGTGCTCAGGCTGGCAGGTAGGAGCTGTGGCTTCCGTTCTGAGAGCATTAGGAAGCCGTCAGAGTGGAAGGATGCGCAGATCCCACTACAGGCCCCAGCCGGTTGCCGAATGATGACTGGCGCCCTGCCCTGAGCAGCACGGAGGCAGGGGGCACAGCTTCAGCCTCGGGGCTCAGTTCTTAGGCCCAGGAGCTCCTTTCCTCTAAGTGGGAAAGCCATTGACATTTAGGATGAGCGAGGAGCTCGGCGGACACCCGCCACACGGGGAGCCTCTGGTCCGCACAAGGGACAAGCTGTATTGCTGATGCATTTTAAGGTTTTTCGACGTTCTATGTCTCTGGCTGACTACTGTTTTTTTGTAGGGTTCGCCCTTCTCTTTCAGCATGTTGGGAAGCAGGGTGGGGTAGGAGGAGGAGAGAGAACAGGAGAGAGCGATCTGGAGGGTGAAGAGGCAGAAGAGAAGCGGGGGCTGAGAAGCTCAGCTTACGGGGCTGGTAGGCGACGTTCACAGACTCAATCATTCTGAGGAGTAAGGAACGGGGCAAAGGAGGAAATCTGCAGAAAAGAGAGAAAGTGCTTACCATTTTTTAAAATAAGCAAGCTTCAAACTTAAGACAGTAGGAGACGGGGCGCCTGGGTGGCTCAGATGGTTAAGCGTCTGCCTTCAGCTCAGGTCATGATCTCTAGGACCTGGGATGGAGTCCCAGCCCAGCAGGGAGTCTGCTTCTCCCTCTCCCTCTGCCTCTCCCCCTGCTCATGCTCTCTCTCTGTATCTCTGTCTCAAATGAATAAATAAAATCTTTAAAAAAAAAAAACAGTAGGAGACTTAAAGAATCTCCTAATCCTTGGGAACATCCCTGCAGTAGGAAAAGCACAGTGAACTAGTGCATCATTCTGTTGTTCATACTATCATCCATTATTAGCCCACTTTATCTTCACATCTCAAGAGGCATGCCCCTCGTTTTTTTTGTTTTGTTTTGTTTTGTTTTGTTTTGTTTTGTTTTTTAGTAAGATCTTTAATAAGAGTTTAAGTAATCTCTACACCCAATGTAGGGCTTGAACTCATGACCCCGAGATCAAGAGTCACACACGCCACTGGCTGAGCCAGCCAGTCGCCCCTAATGCCCCTCATTTCTGACACCTGTGCACCCCAGGGCGTTAGAAGGCAGTTGCCTACACTTCCTGGAGGCCCCTGCCAGTTGGCTTCTGGTTGGGATTGGCCCATGGGGGACACAGGTGAGAGACTGCAGCGGAGAGTGGGGAGGAGGCTCCGGTTTGTAGGACAACGCCGGCTGCAGGCTGGGGACTGCAGGCGGCCACAGTGAACGTCTGCGTACAGGTCACCCTAGGGTTCTGCTCAGCGTCGGCACCCCTGGGAATTCGCTGGGGCATCTGGGCTGCAAGCCAAGGGTGGCATCTCCTTCCCCTGCTATTCTGGAGCACCTTCCCCACACCTGCAACTCTTTCATCACCCTGCAAATCCCTTCTTGGCATTAAATCCCTCTCTAAATATCAAGAAGTTTCTGCTTTCCTAATGGAACGTTGAAACCTATGTGCTTGGTCCCAGGAAACCAACCAAGGACAATGGGGATCGAGGGTCGGTCATCTGAATTGATGGTGCTGGTACAGAGGTGACCTCACAGGCAGCCCACCCCGGCAAAACAGTACTTCTTTTGCCTCCTGTGGTTGCCTAGATGGAGTGAGGGCTCATGGGAGGCAAGGCAGCCCCAAGCGACCATCATGGTAGGAATGGAGTCTCGTGGGATAGGCTAGCTTCGGATTGCACTGGAGAGCATGCAGAAAGAAAACTGAAAGCTTTAAACTCTCAGATCAAGCCTGATCAGATAGCTGGCTCCTGTGCCAGTCCTAAGATTCCTTATCTTTTGTAGCCTCAGAGCTGGTGGGGCTAAAGATCAGACCCACCTTTGATTCTCTCTGATGCATAATTACTACACAAGTTGAATTCACAGCTTCTGCGGGTCTTTTCTGTGAAGTTAGGCTGTTGATTGGGAAAAGCAGGGTCCTGGGAAGTACAGACAGTTGGGAGGATACATGCATACCTTTAACCCTCATCCCTATGAACTTCTCTGTCGATAGAAATAGCCCCTGCTTGTAGAGATTACTGTTTGCCTGCTTGAAGTCCTATTAATGAGCTTGTTCAAGGTGCTTACCTGGCAAGGGGACGCTGAGTCTTTGCCAGACTGGCCCCTCATTAACTCCAATCCGTAACGAGTCTGATCCCAGTATGCTCTGGGGGGACAACTGCGAAGTCCAATTTAGGGGATGTTCACACAGTAAAAGAATTGGGGGACATTCATGTACTTTTAGCAGCAGAAACTTGGGGAGTGCATGGGGGATGGATTCTAATGGTGTCAGTCCAGGCGGACAGAGCACGTTGGACTGGGCTGAATTCTTCAATAGAGCTGACCTACCAGGGATTCTGGATTCGGTGTGTTAGCACCAACTAGGATCGGCTCCCTGAGATAAATTGGCGGGGTGAGATTTGGCATGTTGTGGGCTGGTGGTACTCTTCGTGAAGCACATCTGAATGCACTGCTCTGACCCATTCACCGGGTAACCCCACAGGTCGGGGGGGGGGGGAGCAGGTTCCAATAACAGGCACAGCACAGACACCAAGGGGTTTGGAGCAAAACTATAGCTTTTACAAATAACTAGTCTCCATTTGAGCAATAGCTTCCGATTTGCCACTGGACACTGGTAGAGGCTGAATGCCAGTGTATGAGACCCCAAATGTGACCTGAGCTGGGTGCGATGTGATCCACCAAGCCACATGCCACACTCCATTGTGCAGGGGAGGTTGATGCCTAGCACCGTTGAGCAGGGCCCAGGAGCACGAGGAAAGCACCCAAACAGGCGGCTCAGACGCCCACAGCACCTCCTCTCCATCCCCTGTTTGCCCACTCCCCACAACTGTGGTCTCAGGGGTTCTCTGTGGGCAGAAGAGGGAAAACAGACCGTGTTGACAGACGGCTCTGGAAATACACTGGCACTAGACAGAATGGGAATAACGCAGCAGAGCCTGCATTCCATCCATTAGGAGCGTAGCTGAAAGGTGAAGGTGAAGAGAAGTTCTCCCCGTGGCCCGCTGGATGGAGAGAAAGCCAGAGGTGCAGAGTCTACGACAGCTCCGGGGTGGTAGCGCACAGTCTGACTGGCGGCTCAGGGACATGGACAGAACGACACTGGAGACTTGACAGGAAAGTCTGGGGAAGGGGTTTGTAGATGAACCCCGAGCTGGAGGAACCGTGAGGGCCCACGTGAGTGCTCACCGAAGGGCACCTTCCACGCAGGAGGACTTTAATAAACAAGGGTCAGGATGCCCCACTTGGACACACTGGTTGCTCTCTCTCCAGCCACCCTTTCTGATGACACCCAGGGCTCGCTTGATGGAAGTTTTGTACAAAGTGGTCATGGCTACATCTGGTGCTGATGCAGCAAGGATGTCTTCGAGGACACCGGATCTTTCTGTCTTTCTGCTTTGTCCTTCTTGGCATGTTGGTTTTAGGCCTTCTGCTTGTTACCTCATGGTTCCGGAGTTCTTGACTACATTAGCTGGGAACAAGGCAGAGGGCAGTAGACCAAAGGCTCTTTGCTCATTAGGTTTCGTGGCCTTGTCTTTTTACTGAGGAGGGGATGATCTCCTCAACAGTCTTTCCCTTAACTCTCCTGTGTCAGAATTGGGTCATTAGCTCACCCTGAGAGCGATCACTGGCCAAAGGGAATTTGAACCAATTAAGATTTATACCATGGGGCTGTCTTCCTGAGATCAAAGGATAAGTGATCCCTACTGAACAACTGGGGGGTGGGTGGGAGGTGAGTTTTAAGGCAGGGATTGGTTGTAGGTTAGACAAGAACCAGTATTTGCCAAAGTTGCCAACACTTAAAAGTTTTGGAGATTTCACTTCCAGATCGAACTTAAAGAGTGAGGAGGCAAGATGGGCTGTCTTTACAGGAGTCCTGTGTCCTTGGCGTTGCCGCAGGCCCTGCCTCCCTCTCTCTTCACCTGCTTCGCCCACCTGCCACCAGCTGGGCCCCGGACTTGGGACATTGTTGTAGAGTGATCAGTTTGCTGGTATGTTCTTCCCTCTAGCCTAGCACAGTACCCGGCGTGTACAGCGTAAATAAGATGGCAGGCTGGGGGGAAGGAAGGAGCCCATCCTCATAAACCAAGCGACACTGCCTGAGAGCAATAGCTACGCCTTTGCTCTCAGAAAAGAGTTCAGTCTGAATCTCACTTCTGCTGTCACTGGCTTCCGACTCTCAGTTTCCTCGTCGGTGAAATGAGGATCATAGCATCTGCTCCCCGGGCTCACTGAGAAGCTCATGTGAGTGCGTGGATAGAAAGCCCCAGGCAAACAGCCAGAAGTCCCTTATCCTTGCCCAGGAAGGAAGAATGAGGTCAGCTGAAACGAATTGGTGATGGAATGAGGAAAGAAGATCTTTAAGAACGGAGGGCACATCTTGTTAGCCTCGAAAGGCTAGAAGTGCTTAATAAATATTTGATAATGATAATAATGATCGTTTCACTTGGTAGAATATGATTATACAAATTGTAAAAGTATAATTATGCCAGGCTGTCATTACAGCTAATGGCTTGAATATAGGGATGATGAGGGGCGAACCAGAGCCCACCATCGTGATGGCTGCCGGCAGGCGGTGGCTTGTGGTGCTGCTGCAGACCTTCATGTGGGGGGTAGGGGATGGGGGGGTGTCTGGGCCAAGGGGAGGGATTGGCGGGAGCCAGACTGTGCAGAGCCTGCTGGTCCAGGGTGGGGTAGTGGGAAGTCCCTGGAGAGTCTTCAGCATGAAAGTGACAAGAGCTGAAGCATGATTTAAAAAAAAAAAAAATTTTTTTGTCATGGCAAAATATCACAACATAAAATTTACCACTGAAGCCATTTTTAAATGTAGGGTTCAGTGGTGTTAAGTGCATTAATATGGTGCTGCCATCATCCATCCTTTTCCAGAACTGCTTCATCTTCCCAAACTGAAACTCCTTGCCTTCTAAACACTGATTCCCCACTTCCAGCCCGGCACCCACCATTCTGCTTTGTCTCTATAAAATATTCCCACCACTGCGTGCGTATGGAAAATCACTTGACCGTACACGCAAGGGTTTATTTCTGGGCTCTGTTCTAGTCCATTGGTCTCTATGTCTGTCTATACCAGTGCCACATTGTACGCATTACTGCAGCTTTGTAGTGAGTGTGGAAGTGAAGGGCGAGATCTCCAACTTTGTTCTTTTTAAGGAGCGTTTTGACTATTCAGAGTCCCTTGAGATTCCATATGAATTTTAGGATGCATTTTTCTATTTCTACAGAAAATGTTGGCCAATATGATATTACGTTAGGGTGTGGTGAGCAGTTCAGGCAAGATATGATGGTGCTTCCGAATGTCTAGGTAGTGTTGGGTATAGAGCAACCTGGAGGGATTTGGGGAGGGTTTGGATGGTCAAAGTAACAACATTTAGTGCCAGATTGGAGGTACGTGAGGAAGAAAAGAAGAATCCAGAATGACTCCTTGGTTGGAGGTTGGAGGAAATGGTGATGCCTATTTCTGGGATGGGAAGAATGGAGAAGGGGTGTCAAGAGTTCCTTTGAGGACACGGGAAGTCCAAGATGTCTGGGAGAACCGGCAGGTGGAAGAGAGGTCAGCTGCACCGTGGACACCCGAGCGTGGGGGGCAGGGGTGACTACAGAGCTGAGGAGAGACATATGCATGTCAGTACCGGATGGGTGCCAGGTCATGCCACACTTGGGGCCAGGGGGAGGAGGAGGCAGTGAAGGTGGCCGTAAGCCCCTGGAGAGATTATCCCCGAGCGTAAAAAAAAACATAGTGAACCCAAATCTTCCATGACTGTGTGCATCCCAGGCTGAAGCAGTGAGGCGCCTGACATTTGAGTGGGCAGCGGACCACCTGGGCGTCATTCTCACTAACTTCGGGGGTTGGGAACTCCCAGCGCCCCCATGCAGCCCACTTCTGGCCCACCTGCTCTTCACCAGGCCCCCTAGATGTCCCTTCTTTACCCCTTTGCAGGTGTCCCTAACTGCCTCCCCTGTACACCTCCTCTCCTCCAGCTGGTGCTTGTCTATGCAGTCGGAGCCCCGGCAGCCTGAAGAGGATAGTGTGTCTTATTCGTCTTCGTTTTTCCATTGTCCAGTGTGGAGCCTGGCACATGGATCTCTGGATAGAGAGCAGAGGTAATCTAAAAATCATGTTTTCATTTATGTTCTTGTTTATGCACCCTGGCCATGTATTATTTGTGTCATTATTTAAAAATAAAAGATCTCAACAACACCCAAGGAAGTGGAAGTTGGTCTGGAAATGATAACAACATAACAAAAGCTAAGGAGACCCTCTCCTGCACTCCTTCATGGCGGATGGGCCCCGGCGGGCAGCCCTGGCCGGGAGCTCAGGGTGCAGCCTCTGCAAGGCGAGGCAGGGTGGAGGGGCGCCCGCAGGACAACAAGCGAGCAGCCGCGCAGGTCCCACACAGCACTGCCAGCAAACCTGTGTGGCACCAACGCTTGGGAAGACTGGTTGGCAGTTCTTAAAATGTTAAACACATTCTTCTATGTGACCCAGCAGCTCTGCTCCCGATACTGAGCCCAAGAAGCAAACGCTTGTGTCCCCACAGAAGATTGTCCCTGAGCGTTCAGCTCAGCTTCAGTCATAGCGGCCACAAACGGAAACAACCCGAATGCCCATGAACAGATGGACTGGTAACCAAAAGACGGCACGTCCGCACAATGGACCTCGCCAGAAAAAACTGCCCATACAGCAACCCAAACGAGTCTCCAAAGCATTATGCTGAACCAAAGAAGCCAGACAGAGAAGAGAACATGACTCCATTTATGTGAAATTCTAGATCAGGCCAAACTAATTTATAGCGACAGAGAACAGACCCTCGGTTGCTTGCTGCGGTGGGGATGGAGCCAGCCACGGGGGCCTGTGGGGAAACACTCTGGGTCCTGATTGTGCCGGGTGCTTACAAGGGTGTGTATGTGTGTCAAAACTCATTAAACTGTACGCTTCAAATGAATGCCTTTTACTGTATGAAGTTCTATCGTGATGAAGTTGATTCGAAGGAAAGGCACCGTCCTTGCTCTTCTGGAGTCAGTGGGGTAAGAGAGGTAATTCAGGTGGGGACGGACAGGGCGCCACAGACTGTGGGCAGGGTCCTGCAGGAAACGTGCAGGGGCTGGGGAGGCACCTGGTGAGGGAGCCCCGAGGGCAGAGGGAGGCCCTAGGAGCAGAAGACCAGCATCGGCACCCCTTGGGGGAGGTGAGGGGAGCTTCAAGGTAGAGGTGAAATCTGACCTGGGACTTACCAGCACCATCACACGTCATTTTTTTCTTATTACCAAAGCAACACTTCTCAAATATAGAGAAAAATGAGAGAAAGCAGACATGTACAAGGAGGATGAGGAACCCCCCCGTCCTGAGGTGCACCCCTCCAGACCCCCGTTACAGAGAGAAGGGCACTCCGGGCCAAAGGAACAGCCTACACAAAGGTGGCGGCCTGGGGGACTGGGGAAGTAAGCTCCGTATGGTTGATCAAACCGGGGAGGGACAACTTTGGAGAGAAAGACAGACCCCAGTCACAGCTGTGGCTGCACCTGCCAAGAGGGAGAGGCCAGGACCCGAACTCCTGATGATGTTGGGGGGGAGTTGGGAAGGGGTGCAGGACCCAGCTCTGGTGTAGCAGTTGTACCATTGTCCCCATGGGTCCATGCCCTCCGGCTTACAGAATTTAGCTCTTGATTCACAAACCACAAAACTCTTAATTCCACCCATCAGTGATTGGGTTTAGAAGTAACTGGCGGGAATCAGGCCCCGCAGGGCATCCATGTGTGGCCCACATGGCCGGATCCCTCTCCAGGCGGTGCCTGCTACACGTCTCCTAGTCACTAACAGCCCCGTGTCTTTCCCTGCCGGTGCCCATGACTGCGAATCCCTTTTTGTGTTTCTAATCAGAACCTGGCACTTGCCTGGGTCTGGGTTAATAGTAGGCGGGAAACAAGGAGTGGCTTGGGAGGGGGCGGTCTGGGGGCCTGGAGGTGGGGCCTGGGATCCGTCCCACCCCCAGGGCCTGAGGGCAGAGGGCGCTGCTGTTCTCCAGTGAGGATCCTGTAGTGCTTGCCTAAACACACACACACACACACA